CATTTATTAGACTTTAAAAAATAACTTCTAATTTAAGTGAACTTTAAACAATCTTCACATAAACCCATTACAATAAATGTAATATTTACCTCTGCCCTTCAGCAGAAATATACAGAAATTGAAGCTATCAAACACTAAATTATAAATTAAATATAGATGAATCCTTAAAGCTATAAAAGTTATTTTTTCCTCTTTTTTTTCTTTGTCCTCTGATTAATAGACATCACAGAAGCTGGTTATTAGGTTATTTTGACTGTTATTTCTTTAAGAGCTGCCGCAGCTGAACGTGACGCGGATCTGACACGCATCGTATTTTCTCTCAACTCTTTTCACCTTTTCTGACCCACTTCAGGTCTTAAAGTCTCTATTAATGAGCTGACGAGTTGAATCGGGTGTGTTAGATGAGTTTTTTTCCTCTTTTTTTCTTTGTCCTTTGATTAATAGTCATCACAGCAGCTGGTTATTAGGTTGTTTTGGCTGCTATTACTTTAAGAGCTGCTGCTGCTGAACGTGACGCGGATCTGACACGCATCATATTTTCTCTCAACTCACTTTACCTTTTCTGACCCACTTCAGGTTAAAGTCTCTATTAATGAGCTGACAAGTTAAATCAGGTGTGTTAGATGAGTGAGACAGTGCTGGGCTCCAGGACAGTTTTGAAGACCATTTCAGAGACATGTTCTTAAATGTGACTCATATATAATATATTACATGCATGCACATTTTTAAGGCAGCTTTAATCACCTTTTTGGTAACTTCATGACTTAGCTGACCACGACATTGCATGCACGTAGTTTATTTCGTGCTTTGATATGAAAGGATACAGGCTACAGCGCTCGCTGGCACCTTTGTGCGTGCAATTGAAGAGAACGCACTGTGAGCACAGGACCGTATCCGCGCTCGTTTGACTTGAAGTGAAGTGGAGCGCGTCTGAAAAGTCTCCCGTTCTCAGTCGTTCTGCGACTGAATAAATGCACTTCTTGTCAAGAGAAAAAGTGACAGAAGCAGCAGTTGTGAGTGGGGTGGCCAACCCTAGCCCCGCCCCTGCGTTAATTGCGTTAAATATTTTTAACGCGTTAAACTGAAAAAAATTAATCGCTTGCGTTAACGTGACACCACTAGTTATTTTATAATACCAAAATATAAAGCAAAAAGTAGAGATGAATGACTAATAAGCCAATAAGTGCTCCTCTGCTGCCATCTACTGGTTATAGTGATAATTTGATGTGTTTTTTAATTTTATTAAGTGTTTGTTTACCACAAAGTATATTTGCTTATCCCATTAAAGATAACATTTAAATTGGATAATTTTAAGAGCTTTAAAGTGCTGGAAATAGTTGTGAAATACTTAAAAAGTCACTGAAAAGTGCTTGAATTTCTCTCTCAAAGGTTGCTCAAACCCTGAAATCAATAATGTAATAACATTCGACTATTTCTGCCACAACCCCATGGTTCTAGTTAGTGTAACTACTTCAGGTTTTCTGACGCACGTCAGCGCTGTTTGATCTGTTTATAACAGTATACTGAGCAGAATTCAAGCGCTTCTCTCTGGGTCTCGCAGTGCTGTAGCGAGATCAACACTGATTCCCGAGTAAACCTGTTCTGAGCTCGGGCCGGTTTTCTCGCGTTTTCTCAGTTATTGGTCCGAGCTGATAAACAGTTTGCGCTGCGCAGCTCAAACGAGTAGCACGGTTTCGTTACTCTTTTGTTTCGTTTGCTGTTGATGTTTCTCATGTAGCGCTTATGAGTTGGGCAACCAGTGCGAGCGCTCACAAAATTTAGGCACTATTCGCACGGGATTAGTATTATCTGGGAACCTTGTGTGACTTTGAAATTACCCCCCCACATCTGAATTTAGAGTGGTGCATTCGCACAGGATAAGCGAAGCCTGTGATTTTACTTGAATTTACTGACTTATCTCCCGGATATAATGTCAAGGCTTTGAGAGTCCCGTTCTATGGTCCGGTTAGATGGATTTAAAAAAAAAAAGAAACTAATATAGTTTCATGCCCTGTGTCATTTACATTTCACCAGGTTAAAATAATATGTCAAGCTTTATGCTTGATTTATTTGTAAGACATTAACCTCAAAACCTTTTCAGCTTTCTCTTTCTGCAAATTGTATGGTGTAGCGATATGATGACAGCACCCAAAATACTATCAAACACTTCAACGCAGATCCATTCTTAGTGAAAGATGGATAAAAAGGCGCACAGCAAACAAAAACCTCGAAAAATGATGTGCGACCCGCCAAATGCTGGCCGAATCACAGAGATGCCGATTTGCACGAGACTAATATTATCACAGGACCTCGGTGTTCAGCGAAATATGGTAGGTCATTTGCGGGGAAATTTTTACTTTACAAATTACAGACATGGCCGATTCGCACGGGATTAAGATCACAGACAACCTCCGCAATTATTACAAATGACTGGAGGTGACCAGGTAGAGGTAATAGCAGTCGCACCAGCAGAACAAATGGTCACAGTCTGGAGCCCTGATATGTTCAGGTTCTTAAGTGATGTTCGGTAGCACTTTATTTTACAGTCCTGTTCCACGTGTACATACTATGTACTCATTATAGCAATTACAATAACTGGGTAATAACTAGGTACTAACCCTGAACCTACCACTAAACCTAACATTAACCCATGTAGTTAGCTTGTACTGCCCACTACTTTCTTGGGTTAGTCCACTGTATGCACACGTACTGTAAAATAAAGTGTAACCTGATGCTCTGCCACTTTGCATGCCATCAGTCCTCTAACATTAGCAAAACAAATCGTAACGCTCCATTACACTGGTGTCGAGACGAGAGCACACGTGTTTAACCGGTTCTCACTCCCTATAGGCATCCCATGTTGCATGTCTAAGACTTTTTACAGACTTTTAGTCAAGACTTTTGCAGTATACTGACATCAGTATAGCATCTTTATTTCACCAGTGCTGGGAAACCCCTTTCTAGTTACAAAGAGAAAGAATTCGGCTGGCTTTTTTAATGAGTGTCAGTGGTGCAGATGTCTTTTGTGAGGAAACGTTGATTGTTCTTGCATTGCCAGCCTGTCCACTAGTCTTCAGCATGTTTGGGTTTAAACATTCATTTTGGAGTGAGCTTTATCCAGTGTTTATTAGGGATGGGTACCGTCCGAAACCCAGTATTAAATGAGCCCTGGGGCTAAATTAAGACCGGTATCAATAAGGTTCTATGGGTTAACGGTTCTGCTGTCGGTACTTGCAAATTCTATCTCACCAGAGTCTCCAGCTGTTTTTATATGCAATAATATTCAGACATTTGTCTATTATGCATTTTTTGCTATTCGCAGTTCAGAAGCAAGATCGCGTTCACGTGGAGGAGCTACAGCACGCACTACATGAAAGCCCTGTTTAATTATGACAGAGGAGAGAACTAAACATTCAAACATCTGCTTAGGCTTTACGCCTGTGGCTGTGATATTAAGCTAATTTTATATTTTATTTCGATTTTGGCTTCTAGGGATTATAAAAAAGAAGATATGAGCTACAACTATTAAAAACTATCTAGCGCAACTTCCTTCCCTTAACAGCGGGGCGCATTCGTTGCTCCCTAAAACCCAAACTTAACATCAGAATCAGCTCAATCGGTGATTGTTGTAAAATACCGTCTTTACTGTTGCTAAATCGAGGGACATGTTTGATAATAAAACGTTGAAAGCACAATAATCTGCGCAAGAGACGCTGTTCCCCGGGCTGAAATGTGTGCGCGCTCCAATATGGACTGCAACTAGTCAAGCAGATTACACTTTGGGTTTCGGGAGCACGCCCAAGCGATCAAATACACACAAAATATGTCCAAATGTCCGGCTTGGAGAGAGTTCACTTAAACAGTTTATGTCTTAAGTGGACGTGAACAGATGGGAGAAAATCCTATGTGTGTCAGAATATTGTCTTAAAGTGACAGCAGTGACTGGTGCTTGGGCCATCAATGTTAATCAAACAACAAAATGCAAAGAGAAAATCACTCACAGCTCTCAGTCTGAATAACGTTAGCTTTAATAAGCATTAATCTATTAAACTAAGCAGTGTTCATTTACATTTGATTACTTTATTAGATTTCTTTTGTAGGCTATATTACTTACCTGAACAGTAATGTTAGTAGACCTTCATGGAAAAATTTGTTCGTTTGTTTTATTTTGTTTATTCATGTTCTTACTGTATCTTATGTATATAAAACACTAAAAATGCCTGCACAGTTGTGCATTTACAAATTGATATTTTATATTAATTTCATTAAATATTTAATTTTACATTTCAGAATATAAAGCAATGTTAATTCAGCTCTTAATTTGTTTCATATAT